TGTTTCCTCCACAGCCCCCCTTTCCCTTGGGCTGGCAAAGCAAGGGGGAGGAGGTCACAGGGAAGCAGTGCTGTGCATCCACCCACTGTTTTCAAGTCCTCCTGGTAACTGGTGTTGGCAACACTGTGTCACTCATGTGATGGTTTTAATCTGTTCTTGAAAGAAACGGAAGTTCATTAGATCACTTGAAAATATGCAAAAGTCTACAGGGACTTGGTCAGGATGGTCTCAAACCAGCACTTCTGCTTCTGTAATTCTTCATTGATCACAGTTACTGTGGTGGCTATTTTAATGCTATATTATTTTGGTAGTTAATAGTAACAGCTAGGTATGAACGCTTTAAATAGTTTTAATAATACCTCCCACTTCCTTTTCTGAGTGCATTTTCCTTGCTTTAAGCTGAATGACCATATTAATTTTCCCCTCCCACATTCCAAGGAAAGGGTTGCTGAGGTCTTTCTCTGAATGATGACCCTTGGAATTGAGAGGGAATGTCAACAGATCAGGTGGGCAGCTGGCTGGCCACCAGGAGCTCTGAGGCACGGGCTTAGTAATGTAAAGCCCTGCTCGATTTCTGTCCCTATGGCAAGGGGCTGTAGGTTCAAAGGACACTGTGGTGTTCATCCAGGACACAAAGGTGCGTGAGCCCTTGGTCACCCACACTGCCTAATGGCTGCCTGCAGACAAAGGGCCTCTCAGACACAGCTTCCCTATGGAAATAGACCCTTGTGGGGTATAGTGAAAAGGCAGGACAGTTGCAATCAAAGCCTCACCATATCTGCTGTTATTTTGAGTGGGACAACTCAGTAGCCCAGTAGCGCACAGCCTGTTACAAGCCTGTGTTGGTGTATGTCTGGTTTGATAAGTGATCACATAAATAAGGTGGAGGAGAACTCTTCCCAACTACGATGGCACCTCCCAAGCTGATCCCTACCTAAACTTAATTTCTCTCCTTCCGGAACTCAGGGATGGTCATACTGATACTTACCCATTTTGTAAAGCTGATGTGAATATCTGCTGATGTTTTTAACTAGCCCTGTTGGGTAAATAGACTAAAAGGCAGGTAGCTAGAAGCATATATTCAAGACTTAGAGCTTCTGGCCACAGCCATCACATTCATTTTACATCCCCAGTGACCGCATTGAAAACACTTAATGATGGCTCCAAATATTTAGTCTTTAACTTACTGCCTGAAAGTAAAGTACATGAGAGCATGATTTACCTGAACAAGAAATCAAGCGTCCAACCCCTTAGGGGGTACACTAAAGCTGCATGGAGGTGGTATTAATAAATCATTTTTGTTGGGGGTTAAAGAGAGGACATAGGATCTATAAGAGGGCAGACAGTGAGATAACAGAAGGAAAAAGGTTTTCGTGTTAATGGGAACAGTGGTCTAGATAACAATCTGCCCGTCTACTCACCAATCTCATTTCCCCCTCTTGTCTGGCTTCAAAATCCTACAAGCAAGTGTAGGTCACTTTGTTCAGTAGCTAGAGAACAGAGAAATGGGGGTAGGTGGACTTGTGATGGGAGGCAACCAAGGGGGACAGCAGACAGAACCATAAGGCCATGCTGGGCTGGAGTCTGGTGGGATGCTAGTTGTGCAAAGAGGATTTTACTTACACACTCACTGACATGGTACTTTGTCATGCAGTCAGCAAGCCAAGTAAAAGATACACATGATGAACTGCTAGGAGGGCAGCTTTCCATTAGCGGATGAGCTGTATGTCCCTGTAAAGCCTCAGAATGTGGTTAATGTTGTCTAATATAAAAAACTCAGGCTTTTAAAATAAAAACAGCTGGGGTTTTTGAGCCAGCTGGTTTAAGCAGGGCAACTTGTTTCTTTAACCTTGACCCGCAGCTGGTTGCCAGTGTTGTGCTAGGGCTGGGGGTTTAAGGAAGATCATAACTGATGCCCTGTGAGACTGCCATGGGTTTGCAAGCCCCAGGCTTGCTGAGGAAGGTCAGGTCTGGCAGTGGGACTGGGCAGTTGTGCCCAGGCTCACCCGTTGTGCTCTTTATTGCAGCCAGAGTGTCGTGTAATGGCTTGGGAGTCAGGGAATGGGCTCCGAGGTGCTTGTCTGGGGCCAAGCAAAGGGAAGGACTGACAGTGCCTTTGAAATCAAAAAGCAAACTCATTTTTACACACTGATGCAGTTTTAATCAACCCTCCTTGTCTGCTGTCTGCTCCTTCTCAACTAACTTCAACCTTCTCATGATTAGATATCTATATAGACTGTCTCTGGAGACACCGAAGAGAGAGAGGTAGCTCCAGATCCATGTCATTTCTATTAAACGCTTTACTTAGGGAGGGATTATCCACTGGAGGCGCTTTAGGATGTGAATATTAGACACAGTTGCTATCTAACAACACACTTATGGTTGCACTGGGTTCAGATAACGTTCAATTTCTGAGGGATTTCAAGTATTTCCATTGCTCTTAAACCTAATTAAGCAAATCAAGGTTCTGAAGCAATTTGAGAGCTGAGAGATCTTCTCTGACTTTTGATTTTACGTTTTTCCTCTGATGCCTGAGGTGCCCAACATTTACAAGTTCAGTAATTCCATGTATGACAATGAGGTGGGAAAATGCAGCAGCTCATCTCTGGCTCAGACACTTCTGTATAAACTCATGCCCTTTTATAAAGCTTTGATTTCCAGTGTTCCAGATCCTTTCCCACAATTCCTAGATGTATAAAACATACTGTATGCAGAGCTGCCTCTCCCTGCAGGAACTGTATCTGGCTTTGTGGGGTGCTCAGACACTGCCACGTACCTGCATCAGCAACCCAGAGCCCAGCTGCAGGCACTCCTGAACAAGGAAAGACTGTGGCACTTGGCACGTGTAGTATCATGAGACTGTTTAGGTTGGAAAAGACCTTTAAGATCACAGAGTCCAACCATGAACCCAACACTACCTCTGCCATTGCTGCTCTTTCTGATTAACCCAAGGAATATTTTGTCCCATGTTTGGTACAAATCCCCCTCTGACTGTGACAGCATCTTTGGGGAATTGTCATAAATAAACAGGACTCACCTTCCCTTCCCTCCCTCCTGTTTTTTGAAGCAGTGAGGGCGCTTAGCAGTGAACTGTAACCAAAAGCATGATGGCACTATAATGGCAGACCTTTAGCCTACAACATAATCTTTGGGTTTGCGATATGACCTTGTGAGTGCCATGCTGCCATCACTCTAAAGCAGGGACCACAGCGGATGTGGCCACTCAGTGGCTTAGAAGTTTCCTGGGCAGCAGCAGGGTAGTCCTGGGGCTGCAGGGTTCCACTGGTGAGCTGGGCAGTGAGAGAGGATCAGCATCTGTTCCCCTGACAATACAGGAAGTGTTATCAAAATGGAGACAAAAGGAGGATCCTTCAAAAATCTGTCTCTAAAGAAAAAGCCAGAAAACGAAGTTCAGGGAAAAAAAAGAAAGGTTCCAGATAGAAGAAGGATGTTATGGTAGTGATTGTTCATACAGACATTGATGTGTCAGGGTGCATTTAATGGAACTATTTGTGCCTCAGACTCAGTGTTTATCAGTGCTATGACACTGAGTTGGGAAACTGAGGCCAGGACAGCAGGCAAATTGCCAGAAAGAAGGCAGGGAGCCAAAAGGGAAAAGCTAGATCCTAGGTCTTGAGGAAGAAAAGCTGCAAAATTTGTCTAATTAAGGAATGTAGAACTAGACCAGGTGAGCTAAGGACGTTGACTTGCATATGTGGAGAAAGGAGAAGAGGCCTCACAAAAATAAAGTCAGAGATGGAGGATGAAAACCAGGACAGAAGCATGGGGAATGGGATGGGAGGGGCTCAGAGGGAGGGATAGCAGTAAATTCATGTGCTGTGGACAGGTCAAGGATGGTAAGACTAGCAGAGGTCCTAATGTTCAAGTGAAAATCTGTATTACCTGCTGAGAGCCATTGCAATGGGGTGAAGGAGACTTGAAACCAGATAGGACAGACTCAAGCATAGAGCTGAAGGATCAGAATTCATAGCACCTTCATGCATCCTGGAAAAAAATACAGCTCAAAATACAGTTGCCCAAGAAACTATTGCAAAACTGCTGCAGCTACAGTTAGCAGAACCTGACTCCCTCTTTTTAAGAAGGTGGGTGGATGTATGGATGGTTGGTTGGATGGATGGAGCGGATTTGGCTTTGGAACTTACCCCTTCTGCTTCCTGCCGTGCTCATGTTGGTCACGATGAAAAAATTGGCTTTGTCTTCAGCTGAAACCTTCATACACATTGATGTGTTTTAAAGAACAGATCGTACAGATCCTAATATGGGCACTAAAAACAAAAGCTCTACAAATAAATACTGGGAAAGGACCCACAGCTTCCTGAAGACTGATAGCCAGATTTCTTTCTGCATGCCTTTTGCATCCTGTTGATGATATGACACTTTTTCCCCAATAATGTCCAAGACTCATACTGCATTAATCAGATAATGTAACTTTCCATGATCTGGCCCTAAGAAATGTGATTTAACTTCTTTTCCCTCCCTCTTTGCCTCCCTTTTGACAACTGACTTTTTCCTAATGGTTTCTCCAACCCTTGAAATCTGGCAAAAGTTATGATATTGTTCCCAGAGCAATGTTTGTGGTGTGATTAATGTGTGATTAGCTACTTGATGCTTAATAAAGGCCTTGCTCTTTGAAAGGCTTGTCCGTGGTCCATACTGCACTTGAATCGGGTCTTGTGAACACCAGTGGGAGTATGGACACCAATACAGTTAAATCCATGGATTTGGGTACCCACGGATGGTACCCAAAACCAGCCTTATCCACAAATGACCGCACGTTCCTTCAGCTTTGCTATGACTGCATGGAAATCCACAGGTGTATTGGATGTGTGGCACTAATGTGAAAAAAAAAAGGAATATATTGTTTAATCCTGCAAAAATGTATTACTAACCTCCTCCCCTGCCTTGTGTGGTACCTGCCCCATATTGTAGCACTGGCGGCATTGGATACACCTGAAGACAGCTTGTCTTTTTTGTTGTAGTTGCAGGTGGAACTTGATCAGGAATACCAAGACAAATTCAAAAGACTGCCTTTGGAAATTCTGGAGTTTGTACAGGAAGCCATGAAAGGGAAAATCAGTGACGATGGAGACCACAGTTCTGCCCCCTCTTCCCTGGCATCCGACAGTGGAAAATCAAATCATAAACCTCTGCAAAGTGAAGAGGAATTGGAAGAAGATAACCCAGAAAAGGCGTTTGATACTACTTTTTAACTGCCCAGGAAACAATCAGTGCACCGAGGCGCGCCGCTGCCCAGCTCTGTGACCCCGATGTGAGCTCCCGCTGCAGCATCTGGGGGGGCAGGAGGAATCTGCATTCAAGCGCACATTTCCCACAAGGAGTATTTTATATCAAGTATTGTGCAAAGGTCTTCATTCTCATTCTTCACCTTATTATTATTCTAAAGCTTAGTGCAGTTGTAATGGGAAAATTAATATGTTAACCATCCTCTCTTCTTTTTTCTCCTTTTTTTTTGGTCAATTTACAATGGGTAATTTTGTGGCCATGTTCACTGCTAAGAATGTTTAATGAAGACCAGTGTATTGTACAGAGACAAATGTGTGCAGATTTCTTTTGGAAGTGCCAATGCAAAGTGCTCCAAACTAATACAGATCCTAGAGAATATTGTTACAGTACTTAATCATATTTGTTTCCTTCTTTCTAACTGCACCTTGACAGCTGTACCATCATTTTACATTTGCACTGAAACATTTAATCCTTTTTAGCTTTGCAAGCACTGGTGGCTTGCTGTCTTGAGATGATGTTTATCACATGGAAAGAAATCTATTTGCTGCTGAAAATTCTTGGAACTGTGGGGACGAGAGGAAAACAAGGAGAAGAACTCTGCCTGGGGATTGCTGGTGTCTGTGTACATCTGTGCATCTGTGTTCCTTAGACTGTGTGAGTGCATATATGTTTGTGTGTATATATATATAGCTATATGTGCACACATATCAGTCAGTACACACGCAGCATGTTTCTATTTTGAAGTAAGCGTGGTCTTTTGGCCAAAGGAAATGCTTCAGGGATACGTGGGTAGAGAGAATCTTTCTGAAAGCTAACATCTGGGATATACTGCTAGAAAATAGTCACTGAATCATGAAATTCTTTTTTTTTGTGGTGTTAGTGTTGTAAATCAAAGTAGTTTTAGAATATAAATTTGATATATATTTTGCAGACTCAGAAGTATTGATTTTAAGTATCATATTTTAAGCTTACTGAATTTGATAGGATTATAAAATGTTTAGGACTACAGTATTTGAAATTTAACAGAATCTTCCATTATTTTTAAGACTGAGGTTCAGTTTTACGAAGGTCTGAAATTTAAAAGCAAACTATAAAAAACCTGATCACTGTTATTTAAAAATGTATATTAATCCATTTAACTGACTACTTAAAGTAAGAACAATCAAAGTTAGTGTACTGTATGATATGCATGAGAGAAGTAACAGCACATTTTGAGACATTTCTATCAGACGACAGAGGCACTTTGTGCGAGTCAAGAGATTTGAAAAGGTGACGAAATTCTCTGCATTCCCAGACTAACAGAAATAGGAATTGGGAAACATTAGGGACAGATTCTTATCTGTACCCAAGCCAATGCATGATGGTAAAGGCCTTTCTTTCCCTCAGTTGTTGCAAGGAGGCGTTTTAGGGCAAAGGATAAACTAGGTCCAAAGATGCAGATCTGCATTGAGGGGCTTGATCCTGCAAACTGGGCTCAGCACAGCTCATGTGGGGAGTGACAGTCACATTAATGTTTGCAAGATCAGGAAAGCCCTTGGATAAAGCAGTCTGTGACATAGGGAGGCATTTTAATACATCGTAACAGTTAAGTTACTTTACTTCCATTCCCTCAGGATTTTAGTACTTTAAAGTAACTTATTTTATTTAAATTTAAGCAATAAAATACAAATCAAGCTTAAGTTTCCAGTTAAATAATGGTGTGTGTATATATATAAGTTCAAATCTTGGAAAACAAACAGTATTTTGATGTTTCTTTTTTAAACTTAAAGAGTAGAAAGAAAGAAAAATTGCACATTGTTTGGAGGTCGTATTTTGGATGAAACTATTCTGGTTTACAATGAGGAGATTAGTGAACATGAAATTCAACAATCTGACTTTCATCTTAATGCTAGGAAAGGTGAATCCTCTGTTAACTCCTTGTTTTGCACTTTGAACTCAATCACTCATTGAAAAGGTAGAGAGTCGAGATGTAATGCTGCATTTTATAAAGTCAAAAGGACATATTGTCTCAGCTATTAGAAGAATGAACTGATAGCAGTGTTCACAGTACAACTGAGGACTATTGCATTACAGAAACCGTTGTACAGCGCAGGCTTCCCGGTCAAATCTTAGCTCCTTTGAATTGCAGCGGAGCCAGGACTTCACCACAGTCTTCAAACTCGGGCAAATCCCACTTACCCTTTTATTTATATTTCAGAGTACATAAATATACCGGTTGGATGAATTATACTCTCAGCTGTAGTCATTTTACAGTACGTTTGTATTTGACCATTTCCTGTACTCACGTTTTTTTATATCTGTACAGTGCCACTTTCTGCGGGTGTAAGGTAGTGTGTAACGCTGTACATCTTGCATTGTTCAATCTATTTCAGTGAAACTGATATCATTTAATATTGATATTACTTGAACTAGAGTAAGATAATGAAAACAAAAAAAAAAGGGGTCTTTATGATGTGCAAGTCTTGTGCCTTTTATGTATTTTGCCTTGTTCCGTGTTGAATGTGTGGAAATGCTGTATCGTGGACTTTCTGCTGTATAGAATAGAGCTGTCTATATTAAACTAGGTTGTGCACTTCAGATATCTTTACACTACTGAAAATAGCTTGGTTTTGGCAGTATCAACTGAATTTTAAAAGTCCTACTGAAGGCCAGACGTTTTAGATTTAACATGTTCATAATTATGTTCATTAATGCTCATGTATTAGCTAAACAGTCACTGAAAGATAACTAAAGGGACATCACTGCTTGCCTTTCTTTGAAATCAGTGTTGCTCTTGTACATTGTATTACTAGTGTCTGTGATTGATTAGGCCTTGATGATTTGCTTTCCAAGTAGGATGAAGTATTTCAGTTAACATGTACATATTTTTTCGGTTCCTCAATCTATGGATTGTTTCAGAGGCATAATTCACATTTTTGTAAAAATTCTATGCAATTTTGTGGCATGATGTTTCTTCCACTTGTAATTTTATGTGCTTACATTACAGATCCAAAGGACAAATAAAATTTCTTAACACAAGACAGTTGTTTTCTCTGTTCATTGACTCGAGAGCCTCAGTTGACTCAGGAGACCTTCCTGACCTCCAAGACCTTTGTTCCCAGGAAGGGCAAAGCCACCAGCAGCCAATGATGTTTCCCTGCAGGCTCTTGTGTTCACAATGAGCAGAACAAGGAGTTCATAGAATCATAGAATAGTTAGGGTTGGAAAGGACCTTAAGATCATCCAGTTTCAACCCCCTGCCATGGGCAGGGACACCTCACACTAGACCATGTCATCCAAAGTTCTGTCCAACCTGGCCTTGAACACTGCCAGGGATGGAGCATTCACAGCCTCCCTGGGCAACCCATTCCAGTGCCTCACCACCCTTACAGTAAAGAACTTCCTTCTTATATCCAATCTAAACTTCCCCTGTTTAAGTTTTAACCCATTACCCCTTGTCCTGTCACTATAGTCTCTAATGAAGAGTACCTCCCCAGCATCCCTATAGCCCCTCTTCAGATACTGGAAGGCTGCTATGAGGTCTCCACGCAGCTTCTCTTCTTCATGCATGTGCCTAGGCATAGAATCATAGAATCATAGAATCGTTAGGGTTGGAAAGGACCTTAGGATCATCCAGTTCCAACCCCCCTGCAGTGGGCAGGGATACCTTACGCTAAACCATATCACCCAAGGCCTCGTCCAACCTGGCCTTGAACACTGCCAGGGATGGAGCATTCACAGCATCCATCCCTGCCCCTCCCAGCAAAAGCAAAACCTGCATCTACTGGTGCTCTGAACAACCAGCGTCCTGCAGCCCATGAACTGGTAAGAAAACTTAGTGACTTACAGGCCAGGCTTTGTTGAACGGCTGTTGAGGGGGTTTCAGCCAGACTGATACACTGCCTCGGCCTCACTTCCCTTCCAATGCCCCAACTGTTTCACTAATCATATATGCAATTATATATGTGCTATGAAATGTACCTTTGCAGGGGCCTTCCACTGAGAGCACTGGAAAATAAATCTATTCCTTTGGCTTTTGACTTGCATTTTCCTATTTAATTTACAATGTGAAAAATTATCTCTGGGAGAAGAGATAAGCAGGTATATTAATCCAGTGTATTAAGGGATATACCTATTAAAATAAATAGTCTCCAAGGCAGTTACAGTCAAATTGCTCACTAGAAGAGGTGTGGGGAGATGGGTTCTGATGAGGGGGATGGACCCGGCACAAGGTAAAAGCAGGCAAGGAAAGGAGGAACAGCTGAAAGTTGAGCCTGTGAATTTGACAGAGGGGAGTAAGAGCGGGACAGAAATGAGGTGAAAGAAAAGAAAAATAGGTGTTTCCTGCCCAAAGGAAGAGCAGTGCAGGGTGAAATTAAGAGTGGGGTTTGCTGAGGCCCCATTAGGGAGCTGCCTGTCATGCAGCAACATGAACAAGGGGAAGCAGACAGGAGGGAGGCAGTGTGGTGGGGAGAATTTTGGGAGGGCAAGAGCGAGATGGTGACAGACAGCACAGAGGGAAAAGCCAGGATGCAACGGGAAGGACTGGGCATAACTTCAGCTCCCATGGGGCTCAGCAAGGCAGGATTCTCACAGCCAGCCAAGCAGAAGACCTCAGTGTTTGTTGCACTCAGGCCATGGGAGACTGACTGGGATGACATGGGAGAGTACGACAGGCTGGGATGTGTGGAAGCGCTGTTTGGAGGCTGACCCAAAGGGAAGATGGTGTCACAGAGGCCAGGCAGTGGGACCAGAGCTGCTATGTGAAGCAAGTCTGTTGGGCTGCTGAAGTTTCATGTGGATTCTGCAAATGCTCCTGGTGATGGCCACAAGAAAACCCATCCCACCACAGCAGCACAAGTCTGCTACTACCAGCTGGGGAAGGTGACCATTTCCTCCATGGTGATGCAGCTTCCAGGAGAGGGCTAGAGGGTGTCCAGATCCAACTGAGATGTTGGGGTGGGCACTGGGGAACATTGCCAAGTATGGCAAGAAGAGTTTGGAGTGGGTGAGCAGGCTGAAGGGCTGTACAACAAGGCCTCCTAAAACCTGGGCATGCACTCGAACCCTAAGAAATAATTTCGAGGTAGCAGCTGTACCTTGTAAGACATGAATGGGGGGTTAAACCCATAAAGCCTTGGATTCTGGGAGAGCTGTGAGTGCAGGAGCTGGAAGTCAAACCTGCCAGCCCTGGCTGAAGCACCCAAGGTCCTGAAGCCATCAAGTTTCAGCTGCAAAATTCAGGTCAGCATTTCTTATGGACACACTGGCTTCAACAACTACATGTGGCTTGTTTGAGTCCTTGTTTAAAGACATGTAAAGCTCATGTGCCTATTCAGGGAGTACAAGAACCTGACTCTGAATCTGAATTTCACTTCTGATGTCAAGCATCAAGGAGCCATATGCTTTCTGGCTATGGTAGTGTTACCTAATATGAAAACAGCTAAATCTTCCCCTGGATTTAGGCTAATCATACACTGAAGACAACTGAATGCCAAGTGAAAACACGGAATAAAGGCCATTTCTCACAGAGTGGGAACAGTTAATGCTGACCTCCCTTCCCAACTCTGCCCAGACACGGAGCTTCCCTAAATAAGCACAGCAGGAGTTGCTTGGCCATCATCAAACCTAGTTCCTTATCCTGTAAGTGATGGTCCTTCCCTTAGTCTTCTTTAAGGGCTCAGAAAGAGAAGGAGGGTCTGTTACAATGAAGGAAGAGCTACTTAGCGAAAGGGCCAATACAGGAAATGAAACCACATGCAAAAAGCAGCAGCTGATAGTCACTGGTGAAGTTAAGGAAGCCGACTGCAGAAACACATTCTGGGATTAAAATAGGTCCTTTAAAGAGAGGCGCTGGTAAGACAGTTGGCAGGAGGAAAGGCTAGGGGCTTTCCCACTCTCCTTTCCACAGTTTCCTTTGACTTTTTCTAAGCAGGTGGGTTTAGGCCAGAATCATTATCATGAGGGTAGCATGACAGAAAGGAGAATCTAAGGGGAAAAAAAACCTGAAGAAATGAAAAATCCAAGTGTCCAGCTTACAGACAATAAAGAAGAAGATGCTGGAAGTAACACATTAACTACTGTATATGATTTTAAATGGCTGGAATGTTTGGCTTCAGAACCTGGTGAGAAGGCCATGGTGAGGGGTGCTAATCACTTTGGCTGCATGCGTACTGGAGCAGGTAAAAGGGCTTTAAGCAGCACTGGAGGAGCCAAGTTCTAATTAGTAACAAATCAAAGCCAACTTGATGAATGTGAAGAGAAGAGATGTAAAACCTGCTGCTGTATCAATGGAGGAAGCCTGGCTAATGAGCAGGAGAGCTTGGTGACTGCCACAGCTGAGAACTGCAATGCAATTAGTGTTACAGAGCTGTGGTGGGATAATTGGCCTGCTCAATGTGATTACAGGCTGTGTAATGGGGCCCAAATAACTTAGAAAGAAAAAAGGGGGGGGGAGAGGGTGTAAATTGAACCTTGTTCTGCTCTTGGGTAAGGTGAAGCTTAGCTGGTAAATGTTGTTGCACTGAGCTAATCTACTGATGGCAGGAGCTGCAAGCAAGGCAAGTGACTTGCTTCCGCTGGGAAAGAGGTTACAGGTGTGAAAGGCTCTGTTCAGGTTTCATACCAGCATTTTCAGGAAGGTGCAGAGAAAAGCCAGCTCTGTACACCCCATAAGCTAGAGACCCGTGGCTGAAAGTTTGGCTTCACAGGAAACACACCAGGAGCTCGTGGAAAGGCATAACTCCAGCTGACAGATGGAAGCTGGAGGCAAGCGAGTTAGAGACGCAGCACAGCCTTCTTTATTTTCTTCCTTTTTGTGCAAGCCCACCAGAGATGATTAACTGTAAGTAACGACAGGAAACAAGTGGATGCTGCACTGCACAGGATGGTGCCACATCATGTTACTCATTTCGTGCAGTCTGTGGATGCAGCAGGGAGGAATGTGATGGACAAGCCAGACTACAGGATCTCACAGTGTCTCCTGGCCTTAAGGTCTGTGAATCTTATCACAATGTTCTTCTCTTGAAGCAGTTTTTTCCCCCCTCAGGAGGGCACTTTGTTCATTCAAAAGGTTGTGATTCCCTCTGGAAAGGCTTTGTAATGTCCTCTTAATTGCCAGGGCCAGTAAAGTAGCCCTGAGCGTGTTGTCTGCAGTTCAACCCCACGGGCTGTCTCCCAGAAAATGAGCCGCCTCTCTCGAAGAGTGTAAATCAGTGGAAGTGTAGCATCCCAGGAGCCCTGGGCAATAAATAAACCCAACCCAAGCAGCTCGCCACCAGCTGAGTGGAGCAGATGAACTCCCTGGCTGGAAGCTACCCCAAACTGTAAAGTCTGCGGTAAGACACATCCGTGACTCATGGAGTACTGCCTGTCAGCCCCAGGGATACGACTGGAGACGAGCCCCAGCGAGGAGGAGAAGGAGGCAGTGACATCCAAGGGTGCAATGAGCTCAGTGGAAAGCTCAGCTTCCCTCTCTATTTAAGGGAGAAGCCTCTCCCCTAGGGAATTCCAGAAGTAGGAAACAGCCAGTTTCCCTTCAGTAAATAAGTGCTATGCCCTGCTTTCACTTTGCTGCTGCAAGATGCTCCCTCTGATCGTTAAGCCCAAGATGGCAGGCCGATCGTCAGGAAGGCTATTAGCTGCCATGATTTATGGGCTGGTGGAGCCCACAGAGGCTTCTTCATGCCACTGCTGCCTTCTGTGCCTTGCTCAGGAACTGCAGGCAGCTGCCACGATCAGCTGGAGAGGGAAGGAAGGAGGAAATGTCCTTCCCCACTCTTCAGGAGGTGCTAAGTGGGCAATGGGGCTGGTACCCCCCTCGGCAGGGCTGGGGGTGCTGCAGAGCTGGTGTGAATGACACATGCTGTCCTGTGTCACCTGGGCTTATCCTACACATGGAGTGATGGGATGAAGTGCCACAGGACCTGGGCAGTGTGGGGACCCGAAGCAGCACAGTCTCCACTCTCTGCTGAGAAACCCTGCGCTGCCTCTTGCACGGGACCCAGTTTAGACCAGTGCTTTAAAGCATTTAGCTCCTTTT